TATATATACTTGATGTTGTATTTCGAGCCAAAACGAGCCGAACACGAACGAACACATCTTAGTTCGTGTTCAGCTCATTAACTTATTGAACAAAATTAACGAGTCAAACACGAGTTGTTCGTGAATAACAAGCCGTTTTGACAGCCCTAACCGTAAATAGACCTTAAATTTTAGGTTCTGTAGGCAGTTATATTGAATGTATATGTTCAAACAAATTTTTTTAAAACTTTTTTAATGTAAAAATATGACGTATTCCCTTCTCAAATTTTAAAAAGATTCCAAATAATTTTTTAAAATGATCAACTAAGCATCATTCCAAAAATATCACCAAACTTTACTGAAAAAATTAAAATTACAATCATAACCATACATGAAGGCTAAATATAAAACAAGATGCCCTTTTTTATTATTCTTCTTTAATGGGCATAAGGTTTACTCAGTTCTTTGCTTCAACACTCAGATTTATGAAAACTAGGGTTGCTATGGAGGAGCACATAAGCGACAATGGAATATATCCACCTCGTAATTGGATTTATTAAATCAGGATTTACGTCCTCAAGGAGACAGAACGCTGGGAAAAAAGACGAAACGCACAAAAATTCAATTTAACATAACATTGAATTTAATTTTCATTTTTTGACATTTAACAGAATTTAGATTAAATTCATGACTAAATCACATTATCAACATGCTATCATGCTACCCGAAAAAAAAATATGATAAGTCTAATGATGCAATTGTAACATAATTTCTAATCCTTTTGTCTGTACAAATTAGCTTTGATTTGCGCTGATATTCGTGCAATTAAACATGTGATTATATTATTCTTCTTGACTTTTTTTCACATCTCATCTATTTTAATAATTTCCGCATTTAAATTGCACAGCTATCAAAGAGTTATAATAGCACCGATTTACATTACCATTATTTATATCTTACAGCAAAGGGGCCGTTTTGCAAATTGGGAATTAATTTACGTTGGATCTCCCGGAGATTACGGTAATGACTTCGGTTTGTGCAAATTACTTAAAATATTTATGGCATTGATTCCTATGAACAGTGAGACAAATTTATTTCATTTGAGGACAAATTTAATTTTCGTCTACTTCATGCGTCTATTGTGGGAATTTTTAAATATCATATATTGTGCGGCTAGAATCACAAATGTCGGCAGTAGAGATCACTCACAAAGGCCTAAATTGTGAAATTAAATAAATTTATTAAAAAAATTTTTTGCATTTATTGGGCCAATTTATTAAACGTTTTCCACATAAAAAAAGAAATTTTAATACATTTGTTGTATAATTTAAAATTAGTTAACCATGGGGCTGTCCACAGCACTCGCAAGGTGTCCATAATGAGAGGGGGATGTCATTATGTGTGTGTATATATATATATATATATATATATTATCTTGTCACACAACACAGAAAGGGCATGTATGTTTAACATGTTAGAAGTTAAAATTGAGGTATAAAAGATTTGGATGGTATAAACATAAAAAAAGGAAAACCTTAGGTTTAGATATGCGAATACATAGGAAAGGGGTATGCAAATGTTGCTAGTATGAATTGGAATCATGAAATATGTTTTTTTATTATTATTTTTTTAAAGCGAAGCAATTCATCTCAATTACACATATGTTGGATTAAAGTGTTTGATAGTTGGGTTGGATTAGGGTTAGGTTGTCTATAAAGTCATGAGAATGTAGACTTCTATCTAACTCCAATCAAAACTTTAAAAATCTTCTCTGTCTTTGTTGATCACTTTTATTGTCTAAAAGTGTGTATTAAATTCTCGTGCAACCGTAAGGGTCTGTTTGGGGAAGTTGTGGCTTATTGAATAATCTGCTGATTAACTGATTAAAAATAATTTGCTGATAAGCTAGGTACTATTACAAATTTTTATTTTTTTGGAATAGTCAAACCGCTGCCAGAAAGCTGCCACCGCACCTAGATAGGTGCGGCGTGAATCCGTTGTTTTCATTGTTTTTAAAACGCATAAGCTGCCAAAACGCAATATACCCAAACAAGTCAGGTGCGTTTTTAAAACGTCATCGCACCAAATAAGCTGCCCCAAACGGACCATAAGACAATAATTTATTAATATATCACCGTGAATTCTCTATCACTCATTAAATTTGACAAGATTTTACTTTTACTTTAAATTGTAAATCCATCATACATCTTTGCTATCGTTGGACCTATCACATAATATAACCAGCTTTCATAAAATCATGCATTTGTTTTGCTCTAACATACGTGCTTATTATGATTTGCTCGGCAAAAATTGTTTACATATATATAATTGTTTTTAATTTATATGTGATGCATTATTAAGAAATTGACCATTTGACCCAAATCTCGAGGGAATTTTGGGCGATAAATATTCCATTTTCATATTAAAAATCATCCATGACCCCAACTTCAAGAAGTTTATACTCATAATGATCATCTCAATAAGGCAACCCCGATGCTACCAAAATTAGTCAGATCCAAGTGCAAAAAGGTCCAAATCAAGTCATTAAAGTAAATGTTTCAGATTATTAATTGAATGATCAAATAAACTTCAAGTTGGATATATTTTAATCAAATCAAACATCTCAACGATGAATCTAATGAACCTAAGCTTGCTTAATTCTAAGGTCATTAAGGCCGACAAATTATTTAAAAAATCTCTGTGATTAAGAAGGATCAATGTGGGACATCAGATCATTTGGTGATAAGACTTATTTGTTGAATGAACAAAATGTCTCTCCTAGGGGCTATAAATAAAACCTCACAATTGTCTACCACTAGCTTTCCTGCTCGCCGAATACATTACAATAAATAACGTGGTATTTATGATTCAATGATAACTCTCTGCGCGAGCATGCCACTAGCAACAATAATTGAAGGTGGTCTCGTTAGTTACGTGTCGTTAGTGATGCGTGGGTCAAGTTGAAATCTTTAAAACATGCAATACAAAATTTCCAAATTAAACTACAGGATGGAAAATTAAAAAATAAAAAATCAAATTTTAAAACCAAATTCTTAAATTAATTTCTTTTTTGATGTGCCCGAAATAATTAATTTCGATGACTTTCCATTTTAGTGTTTACGAAGAAAAAATATAAGGAAATCATGAACCCGGTCTGAAAATAGGTGCGCCTGAAGAAATCTGATAGGGTCCATGCTATTTCCATCACTATCGGTTCAAGTTTAATTAGGAGACCAAGAAGCGCTTAACTGACGATTAGTTCCGGTCAAATTATCACTGACGGCACACTTTAATCAATGATTTGACCGTATTAATTTAAACCACATCCTCACGTGAGTCACATGACTTTCCTTCCTGGCATCCTAGTCAGCGCCAGCTGTACATTACAGATGGACCCACTCCCGGGCCCATAGAATACGAGCTGTCAGAAAATGACGGGTCGCCATCCAAATGCGGCGGCTCGTGATGCGTGTGGTCAAGGTGACCGCCACGCGCCGGTGATTACCGGACATTCCGGTCACACAGTGGTTCCGTCCCGAGATGAATCGCTACCGTCTCCCCACGGGGACTCGATTAATTATTAAATAGAAATTAAGAGGGTATAGATGGAAATTCATCGTAAAAATTAAATATTTTCGGAATTTTGTTTTTTGGAATCCTATAAAAGTTCCAGTTTTGATACAGCTCTGCGCGCTCGATCTCTCTCACCCTCACTCTCTAAGCAGAACCATTGGGTTTTCCTCTGTTCCTACTTCATTTTGCTCACTGTTCCTCTTCTCACGCCCTCTCTTTCTTGCTCTCTGGCTCTGATATTCTCGGGGAAGAAGAGAGGCAGAGATATCGAGGGAACTGGAAATCTGTGCGGCTTCTTCTCTCTGCTTCTTCGGTAGTGAAGGACTGCGGCTTACAGCTTCATTGAAGAGAAGCTAGGCCCTTTTCGGGTAACTATTTTACTTTTTTTCTTTACAAGTCAAGGAAATCTCTTTTTCTATACATTGTTCTCTTTGGGAACATGGGTGCCCTGCGATGCTTTCTTGTTTATCTCCATATCTCTAATAATGGAGTTGGGGTCGGGTGGTCATGGAGGAATCCGTAATGCGTTGTTCTCTTTATGCGCACGCTCTCTGCCTTCCAGTCTCACCTCTGCTTTCCTCGAAATTTCACATTCCACTTTTACCGTGTGATTTCTGCTTTATTTGTGTGATTTCTGTTGCCTTTTAACTTCTATCGACTCTTTTGCCTTGCTTTTGATCTTTATTCTTCTGTAAGTTTATCAGAAGAGGAATCCCTCTTTTGGTTTGCTTTCTTCCTCATAAAAGTCTGATTTTTCTCCTCAGATAATGCGGTTAGTGTAAACAAAGATAAGCGTGGAAGACGATGGAAGGTCAATACTTAGCGCAGCTGAAGCACAGTGTTCACTTCGAAGTGACCTCCAAACCTATCCATCACCTATCTCGTCGTCCTGCAATGCCCTCCTTCGCCGGAGCAAACACAGTCCGCTTTTTCTGCGACGATGTGGATGCTACGGACTCAGACTCCGATTCCGACTCCGGCGAACCTTGCTTTGGAAGACGACGAGTGAAGCGTTATGTGCAGGAGATTAGATTCGAGGAACGGCTTGACATGGCTGCTGGTGAAGGAAAAGCTGTGAAGGCTAGCGCCGGCAAAAGAAAGAAGAAGGGAATAGCTTCATCGGAGAAGCAACAGCCTATCACCGGAGCTCCGAGGTTTCGCGGTGTTCGCCGGCGACCGTGGGGGAAATTTGCGGCGGAGATTCGTGACCCAACCCGTCGTGTTCGAGTTTGGCTCGGCACTTACAACACCGCCGAGGAAGCCGCCAAGGTGTACGATTCAGCCGCTATACAGCTCCGCGGCCCCGACGCGGCAACCAACTTCTCCTCCGCTCCGGCGGTTGAAGAACCACCACGTCCACTTCCGGCAAGGAACTTGTCCATGACCAACCTCTCCGTCTCCGGTGGATACGAGTCCAGCGAGGACTCCCACAACATTTGTTCTCCCACCTCCGTCCTCCGTGGTTTCTCTTCTTCCACAGCCGTCCAAGACGAACCGGAGAAGCCCTCTTCCAGTGGCTCCATCAGTTTGCCGGAAGAGCTCGCCGGTGAGCTCATGGCGTTTGACGAAATGCCTCTTTACAACGACTTTCTGGATCTGAGCGCCACCGAGCCGAGGTTTTTCGAGAACCCAATGGATCAGTTTGGGTTATTTGCTCGTGAATCAGTCATACCAAACACCTGTTTCGACCTCCGGTCATCTACTTATGAAGATGGCGACGATTTATTTGAAGAAATCGGCGATTTGTTCCCCCTCGAACCACTCCCTCCCGTTACCATCTTCTGAGTTTAAAAATATCGGCGGTACCGTTTCGTATCGCTCGCCGGATACCGGATTCGGTCGATTTTGTAGCGGAGTAGAGGAACTTTTATCAAGTTTAGCGGCTTTTTTTATTTATTTTCTTTTATTTATTTGTTTTTATTTTATGTATTTCCCTCTCTATCCTCCTGCCCGATATTATCTCCGTCATCTAACGGACGCCTCTGTTTCAAGCTTTGAACTTTTTTTAATATTTGAGTGCTGAAGCCTTTTTCATTTTTAAAAAATACATTTTTGTTGCATTAATTACTACTCGCTATTATATTTCTTAATTTATATATGTATTTAATTATATTGTTATTTGGGTTGTCGCCATCACCATTTGAGCTGGAAAAAAAATATATATTTTTTTTATTTGAGGAAATCTGAATAAAAGTACAGATTCGATGATTGATAGAATCATCAATGAGAAAAAGAGGTATTTTGGAAAATAATTAACGGGAAAATTAATGTGAAGTGATGTGTCCTTTTTTAACGAACTTAAACGTGTAGGTGATGGGCTGGAGCGTGAATTGCAAGGTGTTCTTGCTCGCTCCAGTAGCGGCCATTCGTTTGTTTGTGAAGTGCTTGTCGGGTTGATGCTTGGTGGGCTCCTATTCGTCCATTTGGACCGGACCCGGCCCGATTCAATTAACTTACCTGCAGAAGGAGTCATGGTAGGGTGAAAATCAAAATTAAAAAAAAAAAAAAGATGTTACATATATACCGTTCAATTTTTTATATTTACAGTTCTGATTTATAGTGGTGTTTTGATGAGATGTATAATATTGGGTTCTATAAATAAATAAATAAATAATGTTTAGGTGTTAGATATGTAAATACATATGAATTGGGCGGTATGTATGTAAATGCTCTCTCCAAATAAATATAATAAAAGCTCACCAAGAAATCTACTCAACGGTCCTCATGATAGTCGCCATAGGTTTCAAATTACTCTTTTAACCTATAAAAATTAAATCTTAATCTATAATCCTTTTTATTATCATTTTATAATCGATTCTATTTATAATTTACTTAGTTCATTCTTATTTATATTTAGTCAAAATATAAATACTATAAATATATAATATAACACTTATATATATATGTATAAATATTATAAATATAAAGTCATGTTGACTTAATTAGTATGAAAATACAATGGAGTATAAGCTAAAAGTTGTACGGTGCTTTAAATTTGTTAGTTTTAAGGTGGATCCAATCATCAAGAGAAATGAAAGAAGAAGGCATGCAATAAAATGTCAGAAGATTTCAATATTGTCATATAAATTTTGATAATTATGTCACGCTTTATTGTATGTAAGATTTTCAGTGCCTGTTCTTCCTTTTGTTTCAAGAAAACTAAAGTTTATTATGTGCATAATAATTTCCATGCTTTTGGCCATAATGCAGAATCATTTTGTTGCATTCAATTTGGCAGAGCATGTCTTCAATGTGTTCCCCCCAAGTCCCCATTTAGGGGGATGAAGTAAATTTTACTTGGAGTGAAAGATTGTTGGTTGTCAACTCAATTGGTCCACGTTCACTTTTTTGTCCTTTTAAAAGGTGATTTTAATAGTTTTAGATAAGTTTTTAACCCCATAAAGCTTATTATATATATTGGTATATATGTTGAAGATAAATTTGAACTTAAATTAGGCCCAATAAATGAAGCGTAACAATGAGACATAAACACAGAGAGAGAGAGAGAGAGAGATGGAGGATGAATTATTTTCATATATGGTTTCAACAACCTCTATTTATATGGGGCTAGAATTATTGTGAAATGATAATTTACCACCGATCTCATTTAATCGGCCGACTCTCAATCAGTTGGCTTCATGTCATTCAATTGATGTATATATAACGAGTCGTCTTCTTGCCGGCCAGGCTCTACCTAAGAAGCCTCCGAGTCAGTCAGCCGCTTGATCAATCTCTAGTCGAACAATTACTTTCATTCAGTCACCTCCAGGCACCCTTATTTATTCTCATAAGGTTTGTCTCCAGACGCATGCTTTGCTTTGAGCGATTAGATCCACTCAAGTTTATTCAATGATATTTATATCGTAAAATATACTTATTAATTATAAGTATGCAACAAGGTAAAAAAATTTAATGGAGGTTGGACAAGTGGTTGAGTTGGCTAGAAGGTCAAATATATGGTTGGTTAAGGGCTTATTTGTTTTGTCTATTGACAAGTTCCTTATAAGCATGAAATATAGTTAAGTTCGATGAGTTGACATCAAACAGTTTCATTTTGACTTGGGTTAGGTTTAGGTTTGATTTTGAGTCAAATCAAGTTTAAGGTTTGATTGAATAAATTATATAGAAATAATGATATAATCATTATTATTAATCATGCAAGCTTATTCAATTAGCTATACATGTATGCTTATGATCATAAATTGATGTATTGCATCATGTCTAAGACCTAGTAATTCAAAATATTATTAAAGCTGAACAATCATGTTAAAGTTATGCTTATTCAAACAATTAATTATTAAAAAATAGTCTTGCTTCAGTCATTTTAATTGATTTTATTAAATTTAAGAGAATGTTGCTCAATTAATAATGTATCATATATTATATCTTACTATCAATATCAATTAAGTAGCTACTTTGAAGCTGTCGACCTTTTCTTAATCATTATTATCGTTTCATAATAGGCTTTATGTCACACTTCAACAATTCTAGATATAATAAAGTGGATTAAATATCAAAAGTCAGTCAATAAAATATGGCAAAATTTACATACATATCATACAATTTTTATGTATTTACACATCATACACCTAACTTTAATATTTAGTTTTATAGCACTGTGGTATGATAAACCTTTGTGCTTTAAAAGGTGCATTTCACTCTTAGAAAGTAGGTGATAGTGGGATTTTTTATGTGATATTAATAATTTGAGTGTTTTGGATGTAAATGTTAAATTAAAGTTTGTGTGTTAGATGTGTAAATACAAAAGATTTGTGTGGTATGTAGCTAAATACCCCTAAAATATATTCTAAACTCAATAGAGATAATTTTAAGGATATTCTAAACTGATAAAAAATATTATATGAATATGTTTATATATAATGAACGATTAGCATTTTAAACTGAGAAAAAATTCTTATTTATCAAAATATAAATTACAAGATGGGGTGTTTATTTGAACAATGAAAGATATACTATGACAGATATAACAATTATTGCATTTTACAATATTTGTACTATAGGAAAATAAATAAACATCTTAATTAATTTTATACGAAGATTCAGAACACATTTAGCTAAATAAATGAAGGGGAGACTAACAATTTTATGTGAAAATAAAAGTCATAGAACAAGTTGAAATAATGTCACTAGTATATACTTTTACTTACACATTGTGCACTACTTTGTATTTTAGGAATACATTAATCTAATATAACATATATTAATTATGCATAATGGATTCCATTATGGATGTTGGAAGAGCATTAAAGCATTGAAGCAATCTTTAAGGAGATTATTTGTGGTTTGTTTGATCATTCTTCTTTGAGAGAAGGAGATCAAAGAACAAGAAAATTAATATAAATCTTGATGTAAATGATAAGTGTTGGAGTTGTCATCAATTATGTATGTTGGCCTTATTGGCAATGGCATTCTCAATATTATTGGCAATGTGAATGATAAAGCCTACAAGCATCGCCATGTTAATGGCATGCATCAATCTAATAGTGTACTTTGATGGCTTATAGGTGATGCCATACATCAACAATATACTTTAATGCAATAGCATGCGTCAGCATATTGATAAAACACGTGATAAAATTGGTGGGTATTAGGGTAGTCTGATGATAGCATTCGAGAAATAATAGTTTGGGGATTGTATTTAACTTAAAGATTGGATTAGTTCATTTTTTGCTATAGCTTGTTATGTTGAAATTAAATTTAAAATAAGGGGGTAATGCACTGAATTTTTCAATCCTTCCAATTAAAAAGCTTAATTGAGGTTCATGCTTGATCATATTGATTTTTTTATGATATATCAATAAAGTTATAATAAATATCATCAAGTTAGAATAATATTTAATGATATGAATAAAAGAGCGTGCATATTTTAAGGTTATCAATCTAATGATGATATTCAAAGTCATTTGAATGAACATATATAAGTTATAAACTTTTATAATAGCAAGCATATCCCTTTGCAAATATATGAAGAATATTTGCATATAATATTAAAGTGATTTAGAGGTTCATATGTAATTACACAAGAATTAGTTGGTATGCATGTAAATACCTCTACTTTTTCTTATAAGCTTTGGAGACATAACTTCTAGTCGATGATGTGGAATTGCTATTCTCATTTCTCAAACACAACATGTCAATGAAGCTTTCCATTAAAATACGGCACTGCTTCTCTATTGCACACGTGTACTGATTAACTATACCTTGTCTCCTAAATAGTAGACCCGTTCTTGCTTAGCGGGCATCTGTGGATAACTAGAAGTTGATTACTCAATTATTTTAAATATATATATATATATATACATATATATTGCAATGACTTCTTGATTCAATTATTTATTAGGCTAAACGCCACATCTATTCATAATAATTTGTTGTTTTATATGTCATGTTATGGCAACCGTTTTAGTGGGAAAATAATTAATTTTTAATTAGATTCAAATTGTCCTATCTAATTGCAATGAATATATGACATATAATTTTGAAAACAAATCTAGCATTTTTGTTCATATAAGCATATATTTGGGGAGACTGTAGCTTTTTAAAAAGATGATTGTAAAGTTTGGAGAAAACAAATACTTAAAAAATTGTGGAGGGACACACACACACACACACACACACACACACACACACACACACACACACACACACACACATATATATATATATATATATATTCAAAAATTAAGACAAATGTTTTGTTACAGCCACCGTACTTTAACTGATCAGGTTAAAAAAAATTGTTTCCCAATACAGAAATTTCTTGAATGAAGTTCTCCGAACAGAACTGTATAAAATTATCCCAAATAGCTCCTAAGAATTTAGTAGAATTCGAAAGAAAAAAAAAAGAAACAAAATATCAATACACTTGTTTAAAATGTCATGCTTAATTGCAAAAAATAATGAGTACATTGCTTGCTTTCTCTCTCTCTCTCTCTCTCTCTCTCTCTAATAAAGTACATTCTAATACAACTTATTAAATTTATATGCCTTCTAGAAGTT